CCAATGCAAACCTAACAGGATTTGGGTGAACCGATTTGAAGATGTCCGGCCTGTGGGTGTTCGAATCTGACGTCGATTAGAGCATGGAGATTGTCTAACTCCCAAGAAGCACTCAACTGTTGTGCAGATGAACACGCCGCCACGAATCACGTCGCTCGCTGGGTCGTGGGTCAGAACCACCGGAGGCTGAATACGGCGGCGCTACTAGAGCAGTTTCCGTAGCGCGAAGGACGGGAAGAAGAAGAGAGCGAACGGAAACCAGCGTTTTTGTCTCACTTTCAGTAAGAGGGAACGCAAAATGATACCAAATTTAGCGCCAATTAAAACCACGGTTTGAGTTCTACAGAGCCCGTTCGGTCGGTTCGGTTTGGTTCGATTTAGTTTGGTTTGGTTTGAGGAATATAATTTAAAACTCGTGCTTGGTATTAAGTTTTGTAAATATGACAATCTAATTTTGTATCACTAACCCAACCAGATCAAGCCCAATAATTGTATGAGCACATATTCATTTTAGTAAAATGATTTAAGTATTTTAGAAATAGATATTTTAGAAAAAAATATTGAGATATTTTTAAAATAGATTGTCATAGTTTTTATTATAAATACCTTTCCACCCTCCCTAACTTTTCATCCCAAAAAAATACAAAGCACAAAGTGAAGTAGTTTCTATAGAGTATTTTGTAATTTCTTCTCGATTGGTGTTAATAAAAAGTGATAATGTTTTTCACAAAATGTTGTGTTCAACAATCTCGTATTAGAGCGAGGTCAGTGTAGGTTGTCTGATCTCTTGTAATTTATAGTATGCTCTATAGTTGGTGCTATGTTTGATACTCCAAATTAGAAACAATTTCTTGAAATTATGAGTGAGTGAGTTTCTTTGTGTCATGAGTAGTCTGTGACTCTACAAGTTTTCATCGAAAGAACTTGTTTAGCATTACTGAGGTATAGCCAACACGATGGGTGATTTTCAAATCATTGGAAGGAATAAAAAAGCTTAACAACAACTACTACACGTGGACAATATGCATGATGTCCTATTTACAAGAACATGACCTTTGGGAGGTCGTTGGCGGGAGTGAAACTACACCGCCATAGAGAATTTTAACGGTGTCTTGCGCAAATGGTGAATCAAAGGCAGGTAAATCAATGTTTGCCTTGAAGACCACAACCAGATAAGAGCATTTTTGGGGTGACAAGGCACCAAAAGAAGCATGGGATACGTTCGTGATGTTGTTCTCAAAGAAGAACAATGCGAGGCTACAACTTCTAGAGAACGAATTGTTATCAAATTCACAATGTAACATGACAATTGCTCAATACTTTCACAAGGTTAAGTCGATCTGCTAAGAGATTACTAAACTATACTCAAAGTCCGCCATTGAAGAAGCTTGAATGAAGAGAATCATTATCCACAAATTGTTAGGATCGTTCAACAACGCACACACTCGATCAATATGAACACAAAGAACAGGAGAGAGAAATTTAAAGGAGAAATATTGACTAAAAGTTTTATTGATGACTTTAGGTATGTACAACATAAGAGAGTATAGAAGGAAGGAAAGTATATTTTGGAAGCACTACATAATTGGGATACATAGGTTTCAATTTACTAAATATAGCTTTTAAAGATTTAACCAATATGTACCAAATATATCTCTATCAGATCTTTTACTTGAAGACTCGTCCAGTCAATCCAACAATCTCCCTCTAGAGACTGATCCAATCAACCAAAGATTTCATTTTCAATCTGTACCATACCACTTGAGGCATTGCATAACCTCAATGTTCCAACACCAACACAAAATGTTTGCTGGATTCCATACACCCTCTATCTTCTCCAAATACATTACCATCTTCCACTATTATCCGAGTGAAATGGTATCACTTTTTGTGTTCCTCGCCAACCCTAATTCTTCTAGATAGTTTGTCATCCAATATCATCTCCTTTCCAGCTGCAGCTATTGCCACGTACTCAGCCTCAACAGATGAAAGAGTAACGCATTTTTGAAGCCTAGACATCCCATCATTCATGACTTGCTCCCACTTAGTTGTATCCTAACTGTAGGGCCTCATCAAGGGGCTCTTGTTCACCTTCATCAGTCACCAACCGATAGTGTAAAGAAGGTACGTACCTATCTGGTACTTTGATAGCTTTGAATGATATTTTCAACACCTGCTTAGGTGTCACTTGCTTCGCTTCTGGTTCCTCAGCAACAGTCTCAAGAGTTTCTTGAGTATCCGCTACAACATCATTAGGTGAATCTTTCAGCAACTCAACCTCAACTCCCACTTGCTTCCTTGTCCCAGTACTTTTCTTCAATTCTCTAATCGTCTTTGTAAAGCTAACTCGTTTCTGTTTACTCATAACGTAGTTCTCACAAGGACTCATGTCAACAGATTTCAGACCTTCCAAAACTTCTTCCGCAACCGACATCTTCATTCCTTTAATGCTCATATGTCCAAGTCTATTGTGTCATATACTTGAATTTGAAGTACTCTCAACAACAACAGTCATGTTCATACACCCTGCGATGGTGTATATAGTCCCAGATTTTGTGCCACGTGCTATCACCATAGCACTCTTCACAATTTTCTACGAACTCTTCCCAAACTCTGTTGCATAACCTATGCTATCCCACTGACCAATAGAGATTAGGTTCTTCTTAAGACTAGGAATGTATCTGACATCCTTTAATGTCCACTGATTTTCTATCGGAGTTTTTATGCAGACATCCCCTTTTCCTTTGATCTCCAAATCTTTATTGTTGGCAAGATACAGACTTGAAGTTTTGAAACAACTCTTTATTTGGAGACAAATGAAAAGATGCACCTAAATCTAAAATCCAGGATTCAATTGGACTGTTCACATTGAGGATTAAAGCATCTCCAATGTCTTCTGTTGAATTTACTGAATCATCGTTATCCTTTGATTTGTGATTATGCTTCCGCTTTGTACGATCTGTCCGAAAGTGACATTTTTCTCCACAACTCCAACACTTTGCATTTTGTTTGTTTGGAGATTTTCCTCAGTTCCTTGATTTTGATCGCCCATTGTTTGAGCCCTTCAATTTACTTCTTCCCCTTCGATCAACACTGAGAGCATTTCCTAATGAATCTATGATTTCCCGTTTGCGAATACTTTCACTAAGAACTACATCTCGAATTTCATCGAACTTTAGTTTATCAGATCTTCGTGAACTGTTGATTGCGGCAACAACAATATCCCACGACTCGGATAAAGATGACATCAAAATCAATGCTTTAATTTCATCTTCGAAATTAATTTCCACCGAACTTAGTTGACTTACATCTTATTGAATTCGTTTATATGATCAGCAACATATCCACCTTCAAACATTTGTAGATTGAATAACCTACGCATCAAATACACCTTGTTCATAGCCGATGATTTCTCGTACATATTTGACAGTGCCTTCAATAGATCTGATGTTGTCTTCTCCTTGATGATATTGAATGTCACCTTTCTGGATAGCGTTAATCGGATCAACCCTATGGCCTGACAATCCTTGAGCTTCCACTGCTCCGTGGTCATAATATTTGGCTTCACCCTCAGCAAGGGTTTGTGAAGATCTTTCTAGTACAGATAATTTTCAATCTGCATATTCCAGAAACTGAAATCGAATCCATCAAACTTTTCAATTCCAATCTTTGAAATTTCTATCTTCATAGATTGTGATGAATTTTGCCTCGCTCTGATACCAGCTGTTAGGATCGCTCAACAATGCACACACTCGATCAAGATGAACATAAAGAACAGGAGAGAGAAAATTCAAGGAATAATATTGGCTAAAAGGACTTTAGTACGTACAACAAAAAAGGAATAAAAGTACATTCTAGAGAGTACTGTCTAATGGACATATATAGGGTTTCAATTTACTACATACTTTCAAAGATTTAACCGAGATAATCTACCAAATATATCTCTATCATCTTTACCAAATATCTATTGTATATATCTTATTCAGTGTGATGTCCCACATTGGTTGGGGAGGAGAACAAACCACAATTTATAAGGGTGTGGAAACCTTCCCCTAGCAGACGTGTTTTAAAGCCTTGAGGGGAAGCCCGAAAGGGAAAGCCCAAAGAGGACAATATCTACTAACGATAGATCTAGGCCGTTACAGTTGGTGTCAGATCTCTAGGTTATAGATCTTGTAGGCTTGACATGTTCCACGGTCCAATTGTCGATGCTCCGTCGTTGTCAGGTACAACTTGCGTTGGATGAGGGAAGGACGAATATTTTTTTTTTGTAATATATTTAATGTGATTGACTTTAAAAATTGAATGTCATGATACTATATGATTTTATGCTATGATGTGATTTTGTATCAATGCATGTCTTTATGTTACGACATTTATATTTTCTTTTCCTTGAATTATATAGTAGAATGTAAGTAATATTATAAGTAAATCATAGACTTAGATAGAATCATTTTCTTGGTTTCTAGAACCATGCCGCACAGTGGGCGTAGAAGAGGTAGGAGAGGGAGAGGACGACATCCCATTAGAAGATGGGGAAGAAGAGAAGCCGAAAGAAGCTCTTCCCAAGAAGGGTCAACTACTGAACCCTATGTGTTCGAACTACCTCCTGAATACAAACCTCCCCCATAAGCTACATCCCCTCCTAAATACGCACCTCCCCCACAATCTGCACCCCCTCCGAAAAACACACTGCCCCCTCAAGTTGCACCACAGGCTAGGTTAGACCCTACCACAAGATTGATGTTGGAGTCACTCTAAACGACAATGCAAACAATGCTGGCCACACAACAGACCACATTGTTAGCTACCCAACAAGTCGCAGCAATGGCCACGCAACCAGCCAACGCGATGACCACGCAACCGTAGCCACACAACCGACCAAAAACCCACAACCAGACAGGGGGGCGAGTTGGTTAAAAGACTTCAAACGATATAACCCCCGTCCATTCGTCGGTTCAAAGGAAGATCCCACAGTGGCTCAAATGTGGATCACAACCATGGAAACGACCTTTGAATCAATGAGATGCCCTGATGACCATAAAGTAGCATGCACGGCATATGTACTGCAAAAAGACACAGAAGTGTGGTGGGCAGATAATAAACCGAATATGAACCTAGGAGAGGGGATCACAACATGGGAAACCTTTAAGGAAGCCTTCCTGAAATATTACTATCCAAAGAAAACCCGTATAAAGAAACAACAAGAATTTAACCACCTGACCCAAGACAAACGCACGGTGGATCAGTATGATCAGGAATTCATGAGATTAAGAAGGTTCGCACCGTCACTAGCAGACACTAAAGAGAAACAGACGGAGAAATTTGTGTTGGGGTTGAACCCGAAGGTCCGCTGCATGTTGGAGGCATTTAACCCAAAAACTTACAAAGAGACCTTGAGAATAGCCAAAGCTCTGGAGGAACCTCTGGAGGAATAAAACCCGGAGCCAACGGTTGTCATAGGAAAGAAACACCCTGTCGAGGTCGGACCCACGGAATTCCAACCGCCTCTCCAGAGACCTCGACATCAGAATAGGCCACCTACTCCGCCCCCAATAGCCCGATACCTAGTACCGGAAAAACCCCTGTGCCGCAATTGTGGAAAACAACATGGTGGTAGATGTTTGGTAGGCTCCAGTGTGTGTTATAAATGCAGTCGTGCAAGTCACGTGCCCAGAGCTTGCCCTACAAGGGACACGGGAAATCCAAGGGAACCCCTTAGGGGTCTAGTCATTCGAGAACTCACCATGCAAACCTGTGCATAGACCAGGGCATATGAAACGACCAGTAAAGAGGCAGGAACGTCTAGCACCGTGGTGACAGGTAAGCTTTCTATACTAGACACTTTGCATTGACATTGTTTGATTCGGGTTCTACCCATTCGTTTGTTTCTTTGCCATTTGTTAGTCAAGTAGGGTTCGTAGTAGAACCCTTAATGAATGTATTGTCGGTCGGTACCCCAGCAGGGGTAGACCTAGTTACAAAAAATAGAGTAAAAAACGGACAAGTGGTAATAGCTGGACGAACCATCATGTAGACCTAAAAGTAGTAGATATGACGGATTTTGACGTCATACTAGGAATGGACTGGCTAGCCGAAAACTTTGCTAGCATAGACTGCCATAAGAAAGAAGTGGTATTCACACCTCCAAATGGACTTACCTTTAAGTTTAAAGGAACCTTCATAGGCACCACCCAAAAATAATATCGATGATGAAAGTTAGACGCCTGGTACAACAAGGGGGTTGGCGATTCTAGCCTGTGCAGTAAACACAAAAGGAAAGGAGAAAACAATAGATACGGTACCCATAGTAAACGAATTCACAGATGTCTTCCTGGAGGACCTCCCGAGAATCCATCCATCACGAGCGGTAGACTTTGGAATAGAACTGGAACCAGGAACGGGACCCATCTCTAAAGCCCCATACTGCATGGCCCCAGCAGAACTAAAAGAACTTAAATCACAACTACAAAATCTATTAGATAAAGACTTCATTCGACCTAGCATACCCCCTTGGGGTGCGCTAGTGTTGTTTGTTAAAAAGAAAGATGGCTGTATGCGTCTATGCATTGATTACAAAGAATTAAACAAGAGGACGGTAAAGAACAAATATCCATTACCCTGCATCGAGGACCTATTTGACCAACTTCGAGAGGCAACAGTGTTTTCCAAAATAGACCTTCGATCATGATACCATCAAATTAAGATTAAAAACGAAGATATACTAAAAATAGCCTTCCAATCTAGATATGGCCACTATGAGTTTGTGGTTATGATCTTTGGCCTCACCAACGCCCCAGCAGTGTTCATGGAATTAATGAACCGAGTATTTAAGGAGTGCTTAGACACGTTTGTGATCGTGTTCATAGACGACATCCTGATATACTCGAAAATGAACTTAGAACACCAAGAGCACCTCCGAAAAGCCCCAACTATCTTAAGGGAGAACAAGTTGTATGCCAAATTCTCCAAATACGAATTGTGGCTACGACAGGTTTCGTTTTTGGGACACGTAGTGTCCAAAGACGAAATTTTAGTAGATCCCACCAAGATTGCCGTCACGAAATGGAAATGCCCAACTACGGTCACCGAGATACAAAGTTTTTTGGGATTGGTGGGTTACTATCGAAGGTTCGTCCAAGACTTTGCTAGAATAGGCTCGCCTCTCACCCAATTGACAAAAAAGGGCATACCTTTCGTATGGAATGATACTTATGAGGTCAGCTTTCATGAACTAAAACAAAAACTAGTGTCCGCCCCAATGCTCTCGGTCCCAGAAAGCTCTGCGGGATATGTGATTTACAATGATGCATAAAAAAAGGGGCTGGGTTGTGTACTTATGCAACATGGCAAGGTTGTTGTGTATGCGTCATGCCAATTAAAAGATTACGAGAAAAAACTATCCTACATATGATTTGGAGTCGGCGGTAGTGGTGTTCGCGTTAAAAATTTTGCGACACTACCTGTATGGCGAAAAGACCCAAATTTACATGGACCATAAAAGTCTAAAATACTTGTTCACACAAAAAGAATTGAACATGAGACAGCATAGATGGCTAGAGCTGGAAAAAGATTACGACATAGATATCTAGTACCACCTTGGAAAAACAAACGTAGTCGCTGACGCACTAAGTCGAAAAAATAGTACACTCGTCGGCCCTCATCACAAGGGAGTCACGAGTGCGAGCTAATTTCGAACGAGCTGACATAGTGGTAGTAACCAAGGAAGTTATAGCCAAAATAGCCCGACTAACAGTGCGTCTCACGCTCAGATAGAGGATCATAGACTCACAACGTAAGGACCCAAGCCTAAACAAAATCCTAGATTAGTTGACAGTAGGCCTAGTGGACGGTTTTTCTAAGTCAACAGATGATGGACTATTATATCAAGGACGTTTATGTGTCCCAACTGTGAGTGAAATAATGAACAAAATCCTAACTGAAGCACACAACTCACCCTTCTCGATACATCCAGGTGGTACAAAGATGTATCAAGACTTGAAACAACACTTCTAGTGGTGAAGTATGAAAAAGGATATCGTGGAATACGTGAGTAAATGTCTGGTGTGCCAACAAATAAAAGCCCCTAGGCAGAAAATGTTAAATAAAAGCTATGGTTTCCTTAGATTTCGTTAGTTGTTTTTAACTTTTGATAAATCTAAATTAATGCTCCTTGCTTGAGTGGAAGACTTAATTTTTGCTAGCCATTTTGGCCAGCCCAAGTTTTTGGGCACTACTTCCCATTTTTAGGCTTAAAGTTGTTATTTAGAGTATTCAACTAAATAGAAATAATCCTCGGGTCTTCAGTAACTATCTCTCTCTCTCCTTTTACTTTCTGTTATTTTTTTCCTCGAACAAATTTTCGCTAGTTTTTTTCGTCGACGTTTTCCTCCCAATTGCTAGAAGTCAACAAGTGGTATCAGAGCCTGGTTTAAGTCATCGGTGGTATATCATTGCGGAGGAGCCAATTTTATCAACAGTCCAGTTGAATAGCTCAAGTGGTTAAAGCGTCAACTTAACAACACACAGGTCTCAGGTTTGAGTAGAATAAAATGCAAAGCGTGAAAATACACACATCGTGGGGTCCATCCCAAGCAGGCCCACTCACTCCTCCACGCTGCCGCCGAGTGCTGGCGCAAGGGTTATGGCAAGCTATCGGGCTAGAGGGGAGGATAAACGGCCGAGTACCCCGGGGTTGTGCAGCGAGTGCTGCGGGGGAGTCCAACATCGAGTAGCTTGTAGGAAGGAGCTCTCAGAGATCCACTTTAAGGACTGGCAAATTCATCGATAATTTTTCAATGCGGGTCACGGAGCTCGCCAACAGCATCACCACTCTCGGTGGGAGCATCAACGAGACAAAAATCGTGAAGAAGATGCTGTAGGTCGTCCCCGATCACCTCGAGCAAGTCGAAGTTTCAATCGAGACATTACTTGATGTGAACGACCTAACGATGGAAGAGGTGATCGGAAGACTGTGTAACGTCACATCGAGCAGCGGAAGAAGAATACCGCTTCAGCTCTGTCGACAAGGAGTGTCGTCTACTCCTCACTGAGGAGGAATGGCTTGCACGCTTAAAGCTTCGCAACAACACCAGCGAGAGTAACAGACCCTCCAGCCGCAAAGGTGGTAAGAAGCCACGAAAATCTCGCGGGCGCACGCACGGGAAAGATGAGGATCAAAAGGAGTCGACCGATGGCGAGCCAATCTAGTGCTCGAACTGTGGGAAGAGACGTCACCTGAGCAAGAATTGCTGGAACAAGGAGAAGGCCGAGAAGGCCCATATGGCTCAATCTGAGGAGGACGAGCCAACTCTCTTCATGGTAAGTGCATCGATCTTATCCGACGTCCCCAATCCATAGAGGTGGAGGTAATCAACAACGGCATAACTGCTCCTCTAGTGAGCGTCGAACCCAAGAAAAAGCTCCAGCTAGGCGTAGCAAAGGTAGCACCAGCTAGGGAGCCAATTCAACTGAAGGAGGAGTGAGTGTTCACTTAGATCGGCTAGAGGGACGAGCAGCATGAGCACCGGCGATGGGTCCTCCACACAGGGACAACAAACCATATGACCGGGGCTAGATCTGCGTTCTTCGAGCTCGATTCGAGGATTCGCGAGGCGATGGGTCCTCGACACAGGGGCAACAAACCATATGACCAGGGATAGATCTGCGTTCTCCGAGCTCGATTCGGGGATTTGCGAGGCAATGGGTCCTCGACACAGGGGCAACAAACCATATGACCAGGGATAGATCTGCGTTCTCCGAGCTCGATTCGGGGATTCGCGGGGCGATGGGTCCTCGACACAGGGGCAACAAACCATATGACCGGGGCTAGATCTGCGTTCTCCGAGCTCGATTCGGGGATTCGCGGGATGGTAAAATTTGGCGACAGCTCCGTCGTCGAGATTAAAGGGCGCGGCACCATCCTGTTCATCAACAAGGGAGGTGAGCACCACAAGCTGACCGGCGTCTACTTCATCCCGAGGCTCAAGGCTAACCTTGTGAGCCTCGATCAACTCGATGAGGTCGGCTGCTTCATTTCCATCGAGCGCAAGCTACACAAAATTTGCAATGATTGACAACGGCTGCTCACGCAAGTTCGGCGCACGAAAAACCGTCTTTACATCCTAGAGTTGGAGATAGAGCAACTCGTCAGCCTCTCGGCCAAGACCGAAGAGGTATCTTGGAGGTGACACGCAAGATACGGGCACTTAAAATATCCTGCTCTACAAAAATTACACAAGAAGAAGATGGTGCACGGTTTGCTAGTAATCAAAGGCGTGAACAAGCTGTGCGACGGGTGCCTCATCGGCAAAGAGAGGCACACCCCCTTTCTATCTTAAGCATCCTACCGCGCCAGTGAGCCATTGGAGCTTGTGCACGGTGATATCTGCGGGCCCATCAAGCCAGTGACCCCAGACGGTGAGACCCTCTTCCTTCT